ACACACATATATATATATGTATATACACATAATCAATCTGGCTGGCATAAATCTCTACATACGTATTTGATTGGTTTATAAAACCAGTGTAAGAGTTGATAACAGCATGTACAGGCATTAGTTTAGAAGTGTTCACATGCACCGGCGTAGTCGTCTGCACCACAAGCAACCAACCATGTCACAGCATTTCGGCCACGACTTACCACGAGAGTAGGCACCATGTTGGGCGTAGAAGCAGTAGTAGTAGTAGTAGTAGTAGTAGTAGTAGTAGTCGTAGTAGTCGTCGTCATCGTCATCGTCGTGGTGGTGTTGGTGGTAGTAGTAGTAGTAGTAGTAGTAGTAGTAGTAGTCGCGGTAGTCGTATTAGTCGTCGTCGTAGTAGTAGTCGTCGTCGTAGTAGTAGTAGTAGCAATAGTAGTAGTAGTAGTAGTAGTAGTAGTAGTAGTAGTAATAGGAGCAGCTGTAGTAGTGGTGGTAGGGTCGCAGCTGTAGTCGTAGATGTAGTCGTAGTCGCAGTCGCAGCCACAGTTGGAGTCGTAGTAGTAGTAGTAGTAGTAGTAGTAGTGGTAGTAGTAGTAGTAGTAGCAGTAGTAGTAGTAGTGTAGTAGCAATAGCAGGAGTATTAGTAGTAGTAGAGCAGAAGCAGCAGTAGTGGTAGTCGTCGTGGCTGTAGATGTAGTCGTATTCGCAGACGCATTCGCAGGCCTAGTAGGGCCTAGTAAGTACTGGTAGTAGTAGTCGCCGTCATCGCCGTAGTAGTACGTAGTAGTAGAGGTAGTGGCAGCTGTAGTGTTGGTGGTATAGTCGCAGCCGTCGTCGTAGATGTAGTCATAGTCGCAGTCGTGGCCATAGTCGTAGTAGTAGTAGTAGTAGTAGCAGTAGTAGTAGTAGTAGTAATCAGTCGGGGTAGGAAGCGCCCCCCCCCTACCGACGATCTATCCTAAACGCTGTTTAAGAGCATATCCATTTTAATTTGGTATTTGCAGTACTTTCGTGAGGTCGTAGTCCAATCCCAACCACCGCTGTTGAAGGGGTGGGGGGCGGGCGTGGGGAGGGCATGATGACGTACCTTTTTTAAGAGTACATCCGTTTTAGTGGATATCTACAGTACTTTCGTGTTGTTTGTAGTCTTAATACCAACGGTAATGATGATGGGTTTAGGCGCGAGGTAAGGGGCGGGGTGGCTAGCAGTAGTAGTAGTAGTAGTAGTAGTAGTAGTAGTAGTAGTAGTTATTAGTAGTAGTGGTAAGCATCATCACTATTACTATTACTTTCATTATTATTATTAGTAGTAGTAGTAGTAGTAGCAGTACAGGTAGCAGCAGCAGCAGGAGTAGAGTAGCAGCAGCAGCAGTAGTTGTAGCAGTAGTAGTCGTAGTAGTTGTAGTAGTCGTAGTAGTAGTTGTAGTACAATCAGGGGAGGGGAGGGGAGAAGGTTGAGGAGGGGTAGCAGGGGAGGGGAGGGAGGAGGTGGAGTAGGGAGAGGGCAGGGGAGGGGCGTGAGGCCAATGAGGTCGGCCTCCAGAAAAAGGGGGAGGGGGGAGTGAGGAGGGAGTAAAACCTTCCTACAGTTCGCTCCAAGGGCACCAGGCCAGCGTCCTCCATGGAAAATGGTGCGGGGCACCGTGCGCTGGATTTTACACGTCCCAACCCATCCAGCACGCAGCCAGGGTCGGCGGATACAACAGTTGCCTCCACTTCTGATGCCGCCACTGTCCGCGTAAAAAAGCTTCCTAGAATCTTCAACTTCGTGCGATCCTCCGTCGTCTCGAGACGCGCTGCACGCAAGGTGCGCAGCAGTTCGACGAAGAGGAATGGATTCGGCAATGGCAAGAGGCGAGATACGAGGACCACCTTTCCTGCACACAGAAGCTTAGGGAGGTGGGTAGAGTGCGACAGCAGTCTTGATAACGGAAGACAAGTTCGAGATGAACATGTCCTGCCCCAGCGACCCGCCAAACCTGCCTCGCATCCAACCTTGCCCAGGAATACTATGGGCGTTCGAGGTCCGAAGGCTCCTCGGACTCGAATTCTGGCCAGCGGTACACTTCGCATGCGCACTAGCATCGAACGTTTGGTCAGAGGGGGGGCTGAGAAGCAGAGAGCTATGCATTTCCTTGCTGCATCGCTTGAGCAGCTTGAGCTGAGAAATGCCCCAGGCTGACTCTTTGGGCGCCGGCAGGGCCGAGCCCTCTCAGAAAAAGGAGAGTCGTAGGTTCCCGGGGGGCGATACATTGGCTAAGGAGCAATGTCTGCTCAGCATGTACCCGTGCTGGCTCTTACTGCGTGTTCACTTGTGGCTCAACAGTGGGGTGGTCCCCCCAATCCGCTCACTAGGGAGTGATGCAAGCGTGCATCTTCGTTGGCGAGCAGGTCGTTGTATCAGGCCGGCGATGCATGGGTAGATAAATTCAGTCGCATCACTGATCCTCCGCTGTCCGTCCCCAAAAGACTCCGAAACCTGGCGGCCTCAAAACTCGAAAGCATTTGTTCCTGGTGTTAAAGGGTTTCCATAGTCTATAGGGTCCATAGCGTCCATAGGGGTCAAAGTTCAGAGTGTCTGATCCCATCTTCCTGCAGGCAGCCCGGAAGCCCTCAGGGCCAGCCAGCGTGCTTCGTGTTAAGATGGACGAGAAAGAGGCCGCGGAGCCACTCCTGCAGGCGGAGGCGCAGGAGGCCGGACGAGAAGAGACCCTCAGAAGGGTTTTGGGGTGTTTCTGGAGATTTCGGGGTTTGGACGGGGCATGCGCGCTTTGCAGCCTTCTCCGGCAAAGTGTATCAGGCGCAGCCGTCGCGAAGACAGCTGCTGGCAGAAATCTGGCCGCTCTGGTTTCCCATGATGGTAAGTGACGTCACGATGCTGCTCAACGAGTTTGTCAACACAGTCTGCTTGGGCCAAGTTGGGGATTCCCAGCAGCTTGCAGCCGTGGGGCTGGGAAACATGACTCTGGGATGAGAACTCTCTCATAAACGCCCCAGAACACCCCCATAGCCTTAGTCCGTTGGTGGGTGAATTTTCTGGATCGGCTCTGGAAGATCTTTTGTAGGGTATTCAGGGATCTTTGACGTGATGGTTCCCATATCTGTTGCTACTGTACCAGAGCCAGGATTCAAAACTGCTGTGCTTTGACCATTGCATGGGCCTGACCAGCGCGCTGGATACGTTCGTCAGCCAGGCGAACGGCGCGGGGAAGCATTCGCTGTGCGCCGCGCTTGCAAGAGTGATAGTTTGATCGAGAGTTTCTCGATCCCGAAGTGTTTCCTTCAGGCACGCTTTACAGAGTAGAGCGGCGTCTGTGCGAAGGGGGAGGAATCAATGGATAGATGCGGAGGACTGGGGAGTGTTTATCCTTCATGTCCATGAGCCCGCGAAGTAAGGCACGCAATATCTCCAGCGCAGCCGCCTTGTCACAGCGGTGCAGCTGGTCTGGATGATTCCGTTGCTCTGGTTCACTGATCCCATCCTCCTGGCGCTCGGTTTCTCGCCTCTCTGGGTTACTGAGGCTAAGGATGTGGATCTTCAAGATTTAACCTTTTGGTGTTTGTTCTGCGACCCCAAGCCTGCAACTCGAAGCCTAAAGTGAGTTGAGCTTTGAGAGTTGGCACATCACAAGCGGTGACACCACCTCCCAAACAATGCGCAACGAGCTCTCTTTGGGCTTCTCTCTCTCGCTCGCTCTCTCGATCTCGATCTCGCTGTCGCTCTCTCTCTCTCTCTCTCACTCTGCCCTCTGTTTCATCGCAAGGGCCAGGTCTTGCGGCAGGGAGTCCAAAGCATGGTTCTTGTGCCTGACGCAGAAATTGAAGCCTAAGACTCTGTGACCCAAGTTCCCAGCATCAAGGCCAGCATGAAGGCGGTCTCGAGATATGCGGCTGCTTACAATCGCGCGGCTGTCTTTGGACTCTTCGGAAACTTCCAGTATCAGGCGAGCCCTTGAGGGCTGAGGTTAAGAGTTGAGGAGCCTCCCAGCAGAAAAGCACCACCGTTGAGGTCATCGTGTCATATTTGCAGAACATGGAGATGCCACTTCCTCCTTGGGTATCCACAGCCACGAGCCTCCTCCATGTGGTGTGGGCCATACTCTTCGTGGTGGTGTTTCTCGTCTTTCCAGTGAGGAAGTGATCGCACCGGTAGCGGCACTCGTCTGAATACCTAACCGCCTAGGCCCAAAATGAAAGCCTCTGCGCCATAAGCCCTCGAAGCCAAAGTCTCGAGTGGCTGAATGGATAGGTTGGGAAAACTTTGAAAGTAGGAAATAGCGCAGAGCTGGCCTCAGACGTTGCCAACTAACTGTAACTAGCAAGAGGACTACTGTAGGCATCGTGTCATGATGGCTCCCCACCCAAAGCGAGGTTCCAGTGGGGCAACATGGGTGCCGGAGCGGCGAATGCCCTGACATGGACCCTTCAGTGGCTCATCGGGTCTGCGTTTTTGGTTAGCCAGGCATCCGAGCTCCATGCCACGCCGCGACAACTGTTGCTTTGCCGGGGGAATGTCAGATGCTTTCGGATATCTTTTATGAGAAGATGGGCATGAAAGTGGATTGAGCCGCATCGTCCTCGAAAGACAGTTTCCGACGAAATAGGAACCCTGATGTGTTGCTGACCAGTTCCAATCCTAACACATTGGAACCCCGATTAACCCGACGTGCATCCGCTGATCAGGCTCTTCGAGAATATCCCCCTTATCCCAACATACTCGCTTCCTTCTTGGATTCTGAGCCGACCGCTTGCAGTTGTTGTCTTGTGTCCAGGCTGCTTGTCCAGAAGGAGGCTTTCCGCCAATGGCCAAGCTACATGGAAGTAGCCCTCCCCGCCACGGTATTTCGGAATTGACTAGCAGAGCTTTCATTTTTAGTTCTGGTCCTGGTCGCGTAGAGGGTTCGGCCTTGTTTGTCAAGGCCCAAGGCTTCAAAGCGCAGTTGAGGTCCAGGTTTGCAGTGAGCTCTGGTTTTGGGAGATCTGTGCCCTCGTCATGGGATATTTGGGCCCAACGCCCCTGGCCGCGCATGTGGCTGCCATGAACCTGGTGACGGTACTGGCTACCCGGCGTGCTCGGTAGATGGCTTTCGTAGTCGAGTTGCAGCTGACGGCGTAGTTGCAGGAGCATTGGGTACATCTGGTGGTGCTGGCAGTCTTGAGTCGTGTAGTTTCCAAGGGAAGGGAGCTCTAGTGTGTATGGATCCCAAGTAGCAGGATCCCCAAACTCCAAGAGCCTCCACAGAAGCCCCCATCCAGGCTATGCCCACCATGTCTTTGGGAATGGCGGCGGCCACTGTCGTCGGGACTGCTCTTGGAGCTCAGCTCACCAAGAAGGCGAGGGATGCCTCCTGGTGCCTGGGCAGGTTCTGCCCCCCCCTACATGTAGTGAAACCTCAAGACTCAGATGTTCCGCCCAGTCCATGTACAGATAAAGACAAAGACATAGACACTCACGATGCTAGGTCTATGCGTGCCACATGTCACGGATTAGGAGTAATTCTGGCTTCGAGGTTATGTGTATCCATATGCGTCGGGGTGTGGAGCGGCCTGGCCTTGCTCCTGCCGCGGAACATCATCCCGCGGCTGCTGGCCTCCGACTTGGAGGCCAACTGTAGGACCTTGAAAATATTCGGGAAAGCCTTGCGGTATCTTTCGGTATAACACTCCTGGTTAATCCTGGAACCCAGAACAAGCACACAGGTACAGTCCTTAGTGCAGAAGCTGCTGATGATCTACATTCTGGCGGGATACGCCGACAGTGCTCCGAACGTGATGGGCTCCACTCTCGGGGCGTGGGACGCTTGACCTCTTGAGTCCCTCCACTTCCCACCTTGCTAGCCTACTTCACTTGATGTAGATGTAGCCTAGTGTAGTTCGGTACAGTACAGCACAAGTATACAGCACAAGTATAAGTGCCATGTAGTGTAGTCTAGTGTTAAAAATCGTTTAGTTCAGTGCAGTGTTCTTTGGAAGGAAGGCAAACCACGGCCGTCGTCATCTACCTGGTTTCCTTCTATGCGGTGATGCTTCCGCTGGGATGCGTCTTGGCATGGCCGTTCGACTTCGGCGTCCAAGGCTGGTCTCCTTGTCCATAGTCCCGCAGAATATAGAGGCCTTCACAATTAAACTAGGGTAATGGGATATCTGATAATTTCAAAATTTTCTGGATTATTAAGGCTTCTATAGTACAGACAGACACACTAGTCCTCAGCGGTTAAGCCGCAAATTTCCTTACAGCCTGGCAAAGTCTTCGAGGCTTTAGGGCTTGGAAGAGGATGGGGTAAGGGGGTGTCCAAAAAGGCATGTGGTACTCCATGTTTTTCGGAACCACTCTGGCTGCAGCGGCCTTCTTCGTGGTTCTCCATCAGCTCGTTTCCGAGCCATTTTGAGCATCTTCTGTCTTGTTGCGTTTTGGCAGTCGGCGGCTTCATTATTTCAGCTGAGATCGTGGTTGACCAAGCATAGTTCGGATCACAAGAAAACTTAGTAGTCCTGTAGTCAGCGCGATACAAGCCGTGCCGCGAGTACGAACCCGATTTCTACAATGCTCAATCAAAGCAGCAGTGATTTCGATTAACAAAAATCACTTAAACATCCCATAACTCTACACCTCAAACGCTTCATTTGCTTTAAACTCGAAACCTCAAAAATTTCAGCTGGAGCAGCTCAGGACTGGGAGCAGTGCGCCTCCGAGTCAGACGAGCGGCGCCAGGCCGACGGCTCGCTGGACGGCACGGACCAGTGAGGTCTACCTTTCGATTTGTGGGCGTTTCGCAGGGCTCTTAGGTTATGCATACTGTGTGTATAAATGTAGATATATATATATATATATATATAGAGGTATGTGTACACATGTGCACACATATGCACAGGCATATGCATATCAGTAGTTTAACGCTGCAGTGTTTTCGGGGGGTTGTATGGGCTCCTCACAGGAGAAGAGCACCTCATCCCACCAGATATTCCCGAGGCACTTTCGTGGCCCCAGGGACTCGTTTTTGTTTTATCTTTCCTGTGGCGGTGCACGACCTTGTCAACTCCTTGGCTCTGAGTCAGAAGCCTGCAGACAAAATCCCACATGGTCCATAGGGACGCATGGGGTTTCCGTACTGTCTAGGCTGATGCTCGAGGACATGAAGACATTAGGTTTTGGTGAGCTACTGATGTCTGCCGGCTTCTATCGAGACACAGGGGGCAGCCCCCACTCTTCAGCTGTCTCGATAGCTGTAGACCAGCCTTGACGATACAAAGGTGGAAGGAATGAGCCTTGATTTGGTGGGCAAGGTTTTTGGATCCCTAGTTGTCGTCCTTTGACTTTTTTGGGGGTTTGTATATTCAATATCTAGGGCTTCGGGCTTAGGGTTCTGCTTTCTTACGTGACCATCGCTGGTAGAACATATTCCCATCTTTGTAGCGTTGCCCTTTTGGCACAACGTTGGATACTCTGAGGTTCTCGGTGGATGCTGGATTTTCACATTGGTGCTGGAAATACCCATATGTACTACTTGTATTATCAAGCTTGTCTGACATTTGCCCTTGCTGATGCGATGCCGCCTGGGTTCGTTGAACCGTAAATGGGTTTGCCTATGCCAGTTCATACAGCATGCAGTGTACAGTATACAGTAGTAGTAGTAATAGTAGTAGCGGCAGTACCAGTCGTGGTCGTCGTCCTAGTCTTAGTGAAAACAGAGCCTTGTGGGATTATATGCCTTTTCATGCTGCAGAACGTTGTTGCTTGATTCTTCTGTTTTTGCTAGGCAAGGCACACGGCGCGCTGCCGGCTTCTGGTTACGAGGTGAAGGCTGAAGTACGTGTTTACATTCGTCAGATTCACTCGCTGCTGCAGCCCCTTTTCATGTTCAAGATTCAAGAAGCTCATGCGCTAGACCAGCGCAACCTTGCTCTAAAACCCAGGCCGTAAACATGCAGTTTGCAATCTATCACAAAGTGGCACAACTCCGGAACGGGCATCTGAAAGAAGCTTACTTCCGGTTGCGATGGGCCATCTGGTCCAGTTTGCAGCTCTGGGAAGTTTCCTAGGCGGGGTCTGGGGAAGTTGAGATTGACCATAGCCTTCAGGAAGAAATTCATGCGCAAGTCAAACGGCATCATGAGGCCAACATACCCAGTCCTTGAATCAAGCGGAAGCATGAGGTGCCGCCGGCTTGGAGGCCTCACGGCTCAGTTCGCGCCGGATTTCCGATGTGACTGTGACTCGGTAAGCTGGGGGCTAGCTTCCGTTCTGACAGAAGTTCCCATTGCCCATGTGACTTGTAGTGCAGGATGGAAGTCCTTGCATCTCGAGTCTGCGGTTTTGGCTCACAGCTGTTGGATGCAGATGGGGTGTCTTGCTAAAGGGTAGTAGCAGTAAGGGACTGTTGCAACATTGTGCAGTTGTAAACCAGAGCTTACATTCAGGGATACTCGTAGCGGAGCCTAGTCTCTCATGCGCTTGAAGCTGCCATGACTCGAAGGGCAACGCTTTTGCTGCTTCTTCCTGCGCGGTCCCCAAGTCCCCCGGGTATAAGTAAGAACTTCGAAGATGATAGAAGAAGAGGGTGCGCCGGTAAATATTGTGGTCTTGATTGGCTTCTGTTCTGCATCGGGGGCACTAGCCGCCAGAACGATTTAGGGCTAGCATGTGGCGCGGAATCAGTAGACATCATCATGGGATCAGTTTTCCTGTTGTCGCCGCATGTATTATGCCAGCCCTCATAAGCGATGAACATGATTACGCACACAAGGTGTATATTGTATGTTCAGAAAAGAAAGCGCTGCGCCATATCTGCTTCAACTACGTGCTACCATGGGTTTTAGCGTGCTGTTGTGACAGCTTCTGTTGCTGGATGTTGCATTCCATGTTGACTTAACTGTACTGCCATGGTAATAGGTATTTGCATGTTGATGCCTGTGTCAGAGGTTCTCAGTGATGTGTGGTGTATCTTATTTGCATGCATGTGCACCTTGTATGTGATAGAAGCGGACAGAGCTCAGACAGCTCTCAGTTGAATGGGGTATCGGCCAAAGCAAAGTTGTGTGTAGACTTCAAGTACATAGCATATTGCTTTTCATGCTCTCAAGCACATCTCTTCGGTGCGGGCATACATTACCATTTTCTGTGGTGTAGGACTAGGATTTATCCTTTCTGTTTTCTTGCTGGAAGTGACTTGCAGTATGCAGTTGCATGTTCAGCTCTGGCCAGTGACCATGCCATGGCTTGAACGCCTGCCGAAAAGAGTAGCGGCGGTTTTTCGAGCCCTGGAGTTCAGCGAGATTGCGCCCTGAGCCCTTGCGTGGAAATCATGGAATATCTGAGCTTGGAGCCCGCAGCCAAGTCCCCGAACCAGATTCGTGTTGGGGTTCAGGTCAGAGTTGCAGCTGACATGAATCCGGGGGATATGGCTGACACGTGCGCCTCGAGTATGAGCTGCCTTGCAATGGCTGTTCAGTCCAGGCATGAAGGCATGAGAATAAATCAGCCACAACTACAGTAGGTGCTACTGCCGATACCGCTGCTATTGCTACTGCTACCGCTGCTGCTGGTACTACTACGACCACTACTGAGCGACTACTATTACTTACTTACTTACTTACTTACTTACTTACTTACTTACTTACCCACTTACTTACGTACTTACTTTCTTACTTTCTTACGTACTTAAATACCTACTACTACTTCTTCTTCTACTACTACTACTGCTACTACTACTACTACTACTACTGCTACTTCCTCTACTACTGCTACTACTACTTCTACTACTACTACTACTCCTACTGCTTCTCCTACTCCTGCTACTACTACTACTGCTGCTACTACTACTACTACTACTACTACTACCACAACAACAACAACTACTACTACTACGACTACAACCCTAAACCCTTACTTACTTTCTTGCTTACTTACTTACTTACTTACTTACTTACTTATCTACTTACTTACTTACTTACTTACTTACTTACTTACTTACTTACTTACGTACTTACGTACTTACGTACTTACGTACTTACGTACTTACGTACTTACGTACTTACGTACTTACGTACTTACGTACTTACGTACTTACGTACTTGCTTACTTACTTGTTTACTTACTTACGTACTTACGTACTTACTTACTTACTTACTTACTTACTTGCTTACTTATTTACTATTACTCTTGCTAATACTACTACTATTACTACTACTATTTCTCTTGCTACGACGGCTACGATTACCACTTCGACTGCAGCGCTACGACGGCGACGATGACGACGACTACTACTACCACAGCCGCTGCTAATACAACCACTTTGCCTACCGCTACTTTTGTTGCTGCTGCTGCTGCTGTTTCTGATACTGCTGTCTCGATCTGCTGCAGCTGCTCTGCTGCCGCTTCGGCGACGGACCCGACGACCATTTCCACGACGACGACGACGACGACGACGACGACGACGACTAGCTGCGTACGACTGTACACGTGCTGCTACCACTATTGCTTCCACTCCCACCACCGCCACTTCGGCTGCCGCAGCCTGCTTCTGGGTAAAACGCAGTGGTCCGAGCGGTTCATGACATGAAGCATTGTCGCATCACCAGAAGCCTGTAGGGCAGAATGGAGTAATGGCAGATGTGGGGTTCAGGATTCTTGACTGCAGCCTGCAGCCCTTCACGTGGCTCTATTCCAGCCGTCCCTTTCGTGTGCTTTAAGACTTTAAGAGGTATAACCAGCTGCATGGCATCAAATCTGTCTGCTCTTGGAGCAGAGTAGATGCGATAATAAGACGGACATAGTACTGGGGCTTAACAGTCTTGATCCTGTGGACGCACCCCCACGCACCATGCCATAACCAGTCATTGCCTTCAGGTACTTCGGTTCCATGAGTTCTCCCAACACCCTGGGTGCATGCGAACATGGTGAGGCCTTTCGCTGTTGATTGCAAGTGTGGTGTTGGTATGGTACGTCTCACATCCTTGCACATTCTAAGCGGCCATGTGCTTCGTAGCAATCGGAGTGCCCCACTGCTGCGCCAGCAGAATCATTCGGGTCCGGGGTTCTGGGGGTTGTTTGGGGTGTGCTACGAGCAACGGCCAGGTGCAGGAATGCTGTCCCCACTCGCAGTGCATTCCAGCTGCAGCCTGAGACTGACGGGCCCTCTGGCTTTGCTGTGCTTCGTCGGGTCTGGGTCCTCCTCTCCACACCTTTCTCACCTTTCTCCGACCCCGACTCGTACTCCGATGCCCACTGATGGGAGGTTCAGTTGCGGATGGAATGCAGATGTGGAGATCTTGAAATTGTCGTGGGTGTTGTGGGCCAGTAGCACAAGTTGACGTTGTTGCATGGTCAGTGTGCACAGTGGCGTTCGTGGAATAGGGGCACAGCAGCTGCAACACTCGAATTCACTCGCAGATGTATATATTTGCAGACTGTTTCATGTTATTTCAAAGCGGTGGTTTTGGTTTTCTCAACCCCCCCCCGCGCCTCAGGGCCTGGAAATGCTTAGCGGCTGTGACCAAGCACGTGGCCAGACGACCTGTGTCGCATCGAAGGACCCGGCGGATGAAGTCATTTAGGGTTTAGCGTTTCGGGGATTTCTGGCTTGGCTTTTGATGATATGTGAACGCATAAGTCAAGCTTTTCGCTGAAGCTGGAGTCTGCGCTGTCGTGGTGGCAGGTATCTGAGGCGTGGCCGCTGAAGAATGGCATTTGCAGCAGGGCGGCCCGGGCTTTCTTTGCGTTCTACGTCGAGCAATCGAGGAAGTTTCAGCATTGGCATTTACGGTCTCGTAGACCACGAGACCCCTTGGTCGAGTTCATGGCTTATGTTTCACGGTGCAATGAGAGTTTAGGCGCCAATGTGATCCTGGAACTCCGCGCAATCTGAAGCTTGCGCGGCTATGACTCAGGATGTGAAACGGGCCAATCGTGTGCGACTGGCAGATGTGCAGCGCCCAGAATGTTTGCCAACTTAGAGGCATCGGAGGTTTTGTTGCCGCAGTCAACCCTGGCGTGCAGCCGTTCTCCTGTGCTACCCGTGAATTCCTGCAGTCAGTGTCAGTCAGATTGAATCAGTATGTTGACGGCTGCACCAAGAAGGGCCAGCGTGCTCCGAGGTGCCAACTCAAACTTCACGCTGAAGCCCTTGCCACCCATTCACCCGCACACGCTCGCGCTCTTTGAGAAGCAGCAGGCCCTGGGCATGCATTGAAGCATGAAAACGAAGAAGACACATAACAACAGCAACGACGGCAACATCATCAACGAAAACGGTAGCGATATCCACTACCCATCGTACTACTACTGCTACTGCTACCGCTACTGCTACTACTGCTACTACTACTACTGCTGCTGCTGCTACTACTACTACTACTACTACTACTACTACTACTAATTCTACTTGGTGGTCTTGCTTGGGTTTTTTTGGGTGTGGGAGTGGGGAGGCGTCATCTTGAATAATCTTGGACCACTTGCACCAGATTACCGACTTTTTCCGGACCACCAAAATCCTCCACCAAGATTACCAAGATAATGCGTAATGGGTTTAGGTTGAGGGTTTAGGGTTTTAGGTGTCAGGGTTTACGGCTTGATTTGTTTCGGTTTTCATTTAAGTTCTAGAGTTTTAAGTATAGGGTTTAACGTTACGCGCGCAGGCGTGCGCCTCGCTTTAGGGTTTATGAGGTCCAGGGGCGTGCCTGGATAGGCTTGGGCTTTATAGGGCTTGGGGGTTTGGGTTTAGGGATTTGGGTTGATTGTAAGGTGTAGAGGTGCGCCCGCGGGCGCTCATGAGCGGGGGGGCAAGATTACACATAATCTTGGTGGGGGGATTTTTGGGGTCCGGGGGTGGTTGCAATCTTGATAATCTTGGACCACTTTGCACCACTTGTTGACCAAGATTGCCAGTGATTACCAAGATTATCACGATCACCCCCCCCAACCGACCCTGAAAATCCCCCACCACGATTACCAAGATTATGTGCTTTCTTGCCCCCCTGAGAAGCCCCCATCAAGTTAACCAAGATTGCGTGTTATCTTGCTCACCCTCAGCGTTTACCGCCCGACCAAGATTACCAAGATTACCGGCATCTTGCTCAGCATGACGGCTCCAACTTCCCGACACACTGTAGTAGTCGTAGTAGTCGTTGTCGTAGTCGTAGTAGTAGTAGTAGTAGTAGTAGTAGCAGCAGAGGCATTAGCAGTAGCAGTAGTAACAGTTAATTGATGGAGCCATCTTGGTCATCTTGGCAATCTTGGTCAGCCGGGGGGGAGCCACATTGCCAAGCAATTTTGTCAACCTCGCCCCACTTGCCCCAGTTGCCCGCCGACTAGCCCAAGATTGCAAGATTGCAGCCAATCTTGCTCACCCCTTGCCCCACTTGCTCGACGACTAGTTTACCTTTTGGAGACCAAGATTGCAAAATTGCTTGGAAATCTAGCTCCCCCTCTTGCAATCTTGGTCTGAAAGGTAAACTAGTCAGCGAGACCAAGATTGCAAGATTGCTTGGCAATGGTACAATGACTAGTACTTGTACTAGTAGGTACTAGTACTGGTACTGGTACTAGTACTGGTACAGTTACGGCAGCAGCAGGAGGAGTAGGAGTAGTAGTCTCAGCAGTAACAGTAGTAGTGGTAGTAGTAGTAGTAGTAGTAGTAGTAATAGTAGTAGTAGTAGTAGTAGTAGTAGCAGCAGGTGTAGTAGTAGTAGTAGTAGTAGTAGCAGTAGCAGTAGCCGTAGCAGTAGCAGTAGCAAGTAGCAGTAGTAGCAGTAGTAGTAGTAGTAGTAGTAGTAGTAGTAGTCGTAGTAGTAGTAGCTACAACTTGCTTCCACCACTCCTACTACTGCTACTACTGCTACTACTGCTACTACTACTACTGCTACTACTTCTACTTCTACTTCTACTTCTACTTCTGCTTCTACTTCTACTTCTACTTCTACNNCTACTACTGCTACTACTACTACTCTAGTGCTACAGCTACTGCTACTGCCACGGCAACTACCCCTGCCTACTCCCGCTCGCACTCCCTCTTCGGTTGCCCTTTTCTATTCACTCGACTACAGGTACCACTGTCGCCGTCGCCGCGCCACCACTACCGCTCTCCTACTGCAACTCCTACTGCTGATTATTGCTGCGACAGCGACGGCCGACTCTTGTGCGTGAGAGACCAGTGAAGTTGGCTGCAGAACCCCTGGGCGATTTCCACTGAGTCTGTGAAGCACATGAACCGATGTTGACGTAGGCATGAAGCACGCAACGGCTTGCCTACCAGGTGTCGTGGTACTGGAATGCTGCTGCAGCAAATCTTTCACTGGTTGTGGCAGGCCCCGCAACTTTCCAGCGAAATTACGAGAGCCATTTGACTCCTCGTTTGTTCAGTCGACTGTCGCCCGCAGTTCGTCATGTTGCCAGCCCAGGGATTAATGGCTGCTTGTTGCGCTGGCAAGTGCAGAAAGCCCGAGATACACACTGCCCAGCGCAGACCCTCTAGACCGAGAAGGGCCGCCTCCAAGCACAGCAGACCAGTCGAAGGTCTTTTCGCTATCATGCTCGTCGCTGGTTTGAGCCTGCGGACACGGCCTCGGACCCTTCAAATATTGATTGAACCATCAACATGATATCCTTCGACTGCAGACTCAACAACAACCTAAGGTGGACACTTCGCGCCGTTCTGCGTGCTGAGGACACGATGCAAGTACTACAACCCGGAAGCTTTGCAGCCATCCTATGAGTAACTAAGAGGAAAGGAAACTCCCTCTGCTTCTTGTTTCTCTTTCGATGTTTTATCCCTGTAGGCTTAAGATGCATGTTTCTTGTAGCAGCAGCAGCAGTAGCAGCA